TTACTCTGATCTTTGAATGAAACCATCACAGAATACAAATATTAACAACAAAACTATATATGGTACACAGAAATAAGTCAAGAGGTTCATCTGAATATTGGCTATCAAATACTCAACGCTCATTATTACAAGAAAAATTATAGGAAAAGGATGACATAAGAGTCTCATCAGAAAGTAAAGATCTGTACTCAACTGATCACTAGATGGCATTATTCACTGGCAATTTTCATCAAAGGCTCAGAGTCCGCTGTAAACAAATCGGGGTTCTATGTTTGAAAATATCACTTGGTCTTAACTGTGGTACAATTCCATTTACTAAATAACATTATGCTATTTGGGCATATCATAAATGATATTAAATATAGGCTCTTTATGTCAGTGGGGTAGATGCTTATTATTTCTAGATACATATAAAGATAATATATTTATATCTTTAGACACTAATAGTAATTAATACTCAATAGCAGGTGTTTCAGTTGAATAAATGCCTACTACGCGCCAGGCACTGAGCTAGACTCAACATATATTACCTCATTTAATCTGCACACTAGTCCTGTAAAGCAGGTATCATACTAGTTTTGCTGATGGAGAAACTGGAGCAAAAACAGATTAAGGAACCTGCCCAAGGTCACACCACAGCCACTGAAGGTCAAAGCCAGGATGCAAGCTCAAGAGTGATACTCTACGGCTCCTGCAGAACATGCCAACTTCTGTCTCTTGTTACTGGCCAAAATTTATATACTGGGCTCCTTTGGGACCCACCAACAAACGTAAGCAGTATAATAACACTAGTAACATATCTGTGCAGTGATTTTCACTTAACCAGAGCATCTCATGTACATTATCATGTGAGGCCCTATAACTGGGTGAGAAGAGCAGTACAGGCATCTCAACAGACAAGGCCATCGACCACCAAAGTGGTCAAGAGACTATGTTTACTTGGTTAACAAGTAGAATTCCTGGGACTTCTAGTCCAGTGACTGTCTTCTAACTCTACTGTCTCTAATGCAGTATCATGGGTGGGGGAGCAGGGGAGGGGTGTGTGGATCTCTTCTACTCAAAAGGAGTCTCAATACTTTTTAAAATGAAAAAGAGTCTTAATAGTTTTTAAAATGTTTTATCAGACCATTCAGACTTTCTAAAATAAACCAAAAGCAAATCCTCCTTTTCAACTCAAGCCAAAGGAAGTGGAACTCGGCCTGTGTCACTGGATATAGTCCTCTCCTTACCAAACATGGCCTCCTCGATGCCAGGCAACACAGGGTGAGATAAGATGCTGCCGTCCTTAACGGAAGACAAAGTACTCAAGCATTTTCCATAAAGATTGTGAATTTTTGACACGGAGAAGGTGCTAAATTGGCTCTGGCAAAACAGAAGATATTTCTGGCAAAATAGAACGTATTTCTGCTAAAGGGCTGTATTGTTGGGGTACAAGAATATCAGCTTCTGCAACTCTTTGACCAGAGTGGCGGGCTCCCAGAACTCCATGCAGAGCTTCAGCTTGGCGAGTTACAGGTCGACACTGCTCTGGTTGCTCTCGATGGCCTGCTCCAGGATGGCCAGCTTCTTCTCCAGGATGAGCTACAGGGACCACTTTCGCTTCTCCTGCTCTCCTTCGTCAAAGGCAGACAGGCCTGGCTTGGCTTTCTCAGAACCTCATCCTCAACAACAAAACACCAGTTTACAAATGCAAATGGGACTGGGTGAGCCTCAAAATTTCTACAGAGCTTAGCAGAAGGGCTTACAACCACCAATGGTTTCTCACCTCTCAAAATGAATTACTATTCAGACTTTCTCATTAAACATTTGTTTATCACCATTTCTTTTCAGAAGAACTTGGTTGCTAGGGTGCCTGTGTCACCTAGTATATCTGATCATGGGTTTGTTTCACCTGCTTTACCTGTCCACTCTGGCATTTTACACTGAGATTTATACACCAGCACCTAGCAAAAAATACTGTGAAAGCCTTCTCTGAAGCACTGGCCTTACCAATAAGACAGTCAACAGTACAGAACAGGGTAATGGTTTAAGACTGGTTCTCAAAATGAGGGGCTAAGACAGATCCATGTACTTTAGAAAGGGTAAGAGAGCTCTAATTAGGGTAATTTAATGAGCAGCCCCTTCTCTTACACGATTCTGGGCACTGGCATGCTCTATTTGTACTTCAGGAAAGCTCTTCCTGCCTGCTGAACATCTACATTTCCTTCAAGATTCTGTTTAGATTTTACCTTCTCTTGGAAGCTACTTCTTAGTCTCTGCTAGAAAGTCACTACTTTACTCCATTCCCAAATTACACCATTATTATAGCATTTATTACCTTAGATTGTATTTATTCTTCACGTCTGTCTTCCTCAATTGACTCGGAGCAAGCTCAAATCAAGTACGATATTCTAATAATAATCCTTATGTGCCCAGTGCCAGGGTTCCTCACAGGAGCTCAAAAATTGCTGCAGATTGAATGCGGTTGCCCAAAATTAGGGACATCATTCTAAGATAGGAGCCCAGGTGGTGCCGTGGCTAAGTGCTCGGCTGCTAATTGAAAGGACAGCGGTTCTCCGAGTCGCTCCATAGGAGAAAAGATTTACAGCCTTGGGAACCCTATGAGACAGTTCTACTCTGTCCTATATGGTCACTGTTAGACAGAATCTACTCAATGGCAAAGGGTTTACTCTAAGGTAAGAGAACTGGGGCAGCCAACACTTACCTGAAAAGTAACAAACGCCATCCACAGCTGAGTATCCCGAGGATTCTCCCGAATCTTCCTGTTAAACTCCTCACCTTGGCCTTGAGAACGGCGTTCTCTGTCTGGCTGTGAGTCTGGTGGCTTTGACTCTTGCTCCCCAGGGCCCTGTCCTTGTGACCACTGCGTGATGGAAAGGTCATAAATCCCCAGAGGGTTCAGCCAGGTGGTGACAGAAGGAGCCACGTCGTCCGAATCCTTCACTGGTATAAATGAGGCCGGCTCTGATGAGGGAGGTTCAGTTTTACTGCTAACGGCAACGCCATCAATGCTCATCAATCCCACATTTTTCTTCGTAAAATAGCGTTCAACATGCTTGTGTGAATTCTTCTTTTCTGTGGGAGCCCCTTCCCAAGATATACACTGCTTCTTAGGGTTAATGCCAAGGCAGGAGTCTCCTTTCCTCTTGTATCTTACATTTGAAGAAGAAAACAAGTTACCGAGGGAATACGTGCACTACCTCTGAATGACTGAAGGCTCATCAGACTTAACTTCTTGTTATGCAAGTTAACTGCATATATCCAAATTCACCTTACCTTCAAATTGTTTCTATTTAGAGAAATATGAAGATTCGCAATTAACTTTTTCTGCCTGGTTTGACTTCTTTCTACAACACTTCAACTCTTCGTTAATGTCTCATGAATTTAAGATTATGCCTGTCTTCCAGATCTCGGTAATTTATATTCTCCTGCAGCTTTGTCATTGAAGTACTGTCACATACACATTATGTCATTTGATCACCACAACCCTAGGTGACAGATAAGGCAGAAATGCTCACTCCCTCTTTTACACTGTTCCTGGTGAAGGACACTGAGACCTGCGACCTAGGTGATCGATCTCACAGACCAGTCACTTTCCTATCAGTGCTGTCTTCTATCCATCCCTTCTTAAGAAGATAACATATAGGTCTCAGATTCTTTTTTTTAATCCTGAAATAAAGGACCATCGATAAAACTTCATTTGGGGCTACCACCACTGACTGCCCTGACAGGGAACACAACAGAGAGTCCCTGATGGAGCAGGAGAAACATGGGGTGCAGAACTCAAATTCTAGTAAGACCAGACTTAATGGTCT